TGCGGCTTTTTGTCATTTACGTTGCCGCCACCACTGCAGTGGTGGCACCAGCCAATGCAGCAGGAGGGGTCATCAAAGCAAAGTTGTGTGGATGAATTGGCATAGCAAAATTCTGACCGTAGACACTCATTGTGGCACGAGATATTCGACTATCAGCTGTTGAGGGGCTATCTTCTGCCCCCACCTCACCTTCCAGCTGACGTGATTGTTGTTGTGCCAAGGAGACATGCTGATTCTGATGCTGATGCTGATGCTGATGCTGTTGCTGTGATGGGCGATTTTTTGTGGCAGGAATGTGATGTAAATTTCCTCCTCCATTCCCACCGTTGGCAGCACCTCCTTGTGGCCTCTGCTGCTGGCTCTGCAAATGCTTCTGGGAAGATGAAGAACCACTAGAGAAGCTCGTATTCTGGTTGGCTTGTTGCATTTGGTGTGACTGAGAAAGTGGTGCTTGCTGCTGCTGCTGAAGATGTGATGGATGGATCATCTGAGAAGAATAGAATGACCCATTGAACAGCGGCATAGCCTGAGCATGAGTTCCTCTATAATTTGGCGGTGCTCCAACAGCTGGTATTGGAAAAGGGTATGCATTGTTCTGTAAGATTGCCAAGTACTGGGTTTCATTCGTAGGCATATTTGGGTAATTGAAGCTCATCGCAGTGGCTGCTCCGGCTGTTGTTGCAGAGTTACTCACATTAGCAGAACTAGAAGCATTGGATGAAGCTAACCCTCTTGTGGTTGTAGGAGACTTTGTAGATGCAGGTCGAACAGAACCAGCTGCCACTGCCGCCTGTTGCTGGCTCAAAGGGAAGATGAAAGCAGGGGCATGCTGCAAACCCAACAAACAAAATCAACCAAATTTCAAAAATCACACCAAATTACTAGAGTTCCTTGGATGTGATTGCAATGCAATTCAGAAGAAGGTATCATACCAGAATATTACTAGGGGCTACTGGGGGCATTGCTTGCTGAAGCAAAATCGGCTGCTGCTTGCTCTGTGCAGCATCAGCAATATTGGCAGCTTGAGGACCTTTGTCCTTCCCAGTATGGCCAGGAAAGATCGCAAGACCTTGCCCCTTGTCCTGCATAGAGTTCATGCCCCTACCAGAGATGTTTCCATTCAATTCTGCAGGTGGTACAATGTTGAGATTGCTGGGCTTGGCTCCAAACAAAGATGCAGTCCCTGCTGCAGCTGGCCAGAAAGGGTTCATCTTCATGAATTGCTGGAGGACGTAAATGTTCCGAGCAATATAACAATGTGTTGCACACCTTTTCGGCCGTGGTTGAGAGAAATGTGGCTGGACAAGTTCATAAGTTTCACAATTAAAATGGGAAAGGAGGAAATGAAGTCAAAGTTGATCCAAGACTTCAGAATCAAACACCATAAGAATTAGGAACTAACGAAAGTAGCAACATGTGATACCTGCATTGGTGCCGACATGGCGTTACCATCCATGGACACAACTCCTTGCAATGGTGTCATGTATCTGCTCATGATCAGCAGAGTTATTTCTCCAAAGAACACCAAACCAATCCACCCATAAAATACTGCTACAATTACTAAACAAATGACCATGAAAACGAAAAAATTATCAATCTATCCGAACATACCCCATTGAAGGAAGCCCACCAGGCCAGCTAGCCATAGACATTGGCAAAGGCAACGAGCTGGATTGAGCTGACAGAATCAAAAAAAAAACAATAACTCAATTAACATCCCACCAAATCCAGAGACCCCACCACATCAAGAAAGTAAATTTCCTAATAAAGAAAGTGAAATTTCTTATAACTTGTTTTCTCTGAGTTTCAGAAAAAAAAAAAAGAAAAACGTACATGTTTTCTCTGAATGTGATTCTTCTCCGGTTGCTTTTGGTGGAGGTGGTTGTTGCTGCTTCTGGGCCTGATGTTGAAATTTGTTGTTTCCACTCTCTCTCTCAGGTTTTTCCAAATCAAGCTGAAGATCAATATTTCTCACTTTGTTCTCAACTGGCTTCTGCAATTGAACTTCTTCCACCGCCGATTTCACCTTTCTCTCCTCAGCTGCCACATACATAGCTTCCTTATCATCTTCCTTTGGTCTCATCATTTCCTGCAAATATCAAAAAATACTCATTCATACCTCCACCAAACCAAACAACTTGAGAAAAAAACTTATTTATCAACAAAAAAACAATCACTACTCACCGAATCAAGATTAGATATCATCGGCTTATGGTCCTCCACCACTGTCGCCGCCACCCCGAAATCGCCTTCTCTTTCCGGTGATGATCTCAATTGAGGAGGTGGAGCCTGAGAGCCAGGGAAAAAAATTTATTAGATCAAAACCCCCCCAGAAAAAGGGGAAAAGATTTTGAACTTTATCTTCACCCTCACCATCAGATCTATCTTGAATTTTTCCTCCTTGGGCTTCTCCCCCTCAGAAACCATTGAATTCCTGAACCCATCAAAAATTAACATAGATAATCAGAACCCATCGAAAATTAACATATATAACCAAAACCCATCAAAAATTCAAGAATTACAATTATGAAAAAAAAAAAAAAAATCTTTGGGTACTCACAATTTGGTTGCTGTCGCTGTCACACCCTGAAGATTATCTTCTAATCTGACCACAGGAGGTTCCTTCTTTGCCGTGACATCTCCGTTGCCCGAAGGCAAATCTCGACTTTCGGCTACTTTTTCCGTCTTTGCCTGTGACTCCGAATCCGGCTTCATCATCTCCGGTATAGGCTCCGATGGTGAGGTCAAAGGCTGTGAATTGACCAAACTACCCAGATCGTACGGTACTCCACCATTTTCAGCTGCAGATCCTGGATTCTTATCCATACTTGGAGAAGAAATTTCGGTCTTTGGTAGCTGATCGATCTCGACCTTCGTGATCGTCGTTGAAATGGGGCTGCTCCGGACACCAAAACTCCCCATATTCTCTGATACTTGTCTCGGTCTCTTCCTCTTCGGCGCTGCAAAAGCAAACCAAAAGAACACATTTTCATTAGAAAAAAAATCTGCATTATGTCCATCCACTTGAAGAAATTGAGGGATTGAGCGGAAGAAACAGACCAACTGCTGATATGGGAGTAGCTGAGGAGCTAGAGTTTTGTGGCAAAATCGCCGATGACTGAGGATTTGTCGATGGTGAATTCGAGATCGGAGACGAAACTCTGGATTTTGAATCACTTGTGGATTTATTGAGCTCCCTTGAGTCAAACTTAGCCGATTCGTTTGAGACCACTTCTTTCTTTGAAGATTGAGTCATCAACCCATATAAAACCTCGGCGATTTCGATCTCCAGCTCCTCAGGATTTGATGAAGACGACTTCGAAGACAACTTTGGCGGTCTGTGTTTGGGTCCATTCAACTTCTACAGAAACAACAACCAAATTGAGTTTTTTGAGAACACAAAAGCAAAAATAGGGTAGAATAAGAAGTGGTCGAGAATAGTGATTTGACTGACCATCTTCTTCCGAAACGAAGCATTGGAAGAAGACGGAGAAAGTGGAGCTCCCGGCGAAGGCGTCGAGGTTGAAGGAAGACTTTGTCTCACCGGTGAAGTCGAAGCTTGCCGATGAATCTGCTCTCCTCCTCCACCCACTACTCTTTCACCACCACCGCCATTCATCCACTCATGTGACCTTTTCGTGGATGCTGAAAACACCACAAAAAAATCAAAACAAAATTAGCGAACGTCCAATCAAACCATTCACAAATATAAATAATTTATCAACTGAATCAACCATCATTCCTATACCTGTCCGAGCTTTTCTGGGTACCGACACGCCGATCATTTCATCGCCGGCTTTCCACACCGGCGCAGCCCTAAAAACTTTCGCAGAGCTCGGTGGGTAACTTTTCCGGGGCTGTAAATGATGGTTGGTTGACATCGGATTCGGTGGTAGCATCCGGACCGGTCCAGTTCCATTTCCACCGTCCTCTTCATCGTCTTCCTCGTCATCATTCACACTTTCTTCTGAACTATCTTCTCCTCCATCTTCTCTATTACCACCGTGAATCAATCTCTCCGCTCTTCGTCGTTTACTCCGACTTGACCTGTCTCTGTCGCGCTCTCTTTCTCTCTCTCGATCTCGATCCCGATCTCGATCTTTCTTCAACCCTCTATCTCTCAACCTTGATGGTTCTTGTAATTCCATCGGTCCATCATCCTCTGCAATTTCACCAACAAAAAAAATCAGAAACCCCGAGAGAAAAATCAATGTAAAAAATTGAAGAATACCGTTAGATCTGAGCAAGCTTTGAACCTGGCGAGTCTCTTAGACTGTTACTTCTATGTCTTCGTCTAGATAAACCATTAGAGGGTACCATACTTGCTACTCTTCTGGCTTCTCGGTTTCTATCCATTTATCGTTGATGTTTCTTGACAAAATCAATAAGACCCAGATGAGAAATAAGGTTGTTTCTCATCCGAGACTGATATTGCAGAAGAATTCGCCAGATATTGTCAGACTCGCCGGAAATTAAAGATTCACTGTGGTCTCCGACGAAACCGAGAATCGTTCACTCAAAAATCTTTCAAGAGTTGGGCACTTCCAAAGATCTGTATGGTTCTCCCTCTGTGCTTCTCTTTTCTCTACTCTTCCCTAACTTCGCCTTTTCTCTCTATCCTCACTTTCTCTCTTCTCTCTCCCTTGTCCTCTTTTTCTGCTCTCTATCTCATCATCTTTCCGGTATTTCAATATCTCTCCAAACCCTCGTGGATGAATCAGATCAATGCTTTTTGACAAGTACTCCGATCTCCACCGTCCCATTCCCAAAACCAATCCAACGGCCAAAATCTTCTGTTTCCAGCATGGCAAAGAATCAGCCGTCAGGTTAATTGGTCTTCCAGTTACTGACACGTATCAGTTTTGTTTCGTCCTCAACAAGCTTCCATGTATTGATTTAAAAATTAATATTCTAATTAAATTAATATAATATAATAATAATGCATTATTATGACTTATGAGAGGGCACTTTTCACGATAAAACAAACTAATCTCCTGGGTACGTTTAAGAGGTTCTTTTTCTGACCGGCTATAACCGGTTTTCAGGGAAACAACCTTGGTAAAAGCAACCATGACGTTCACAAGGAATCTTGTAGGTGACCGCAAAAAATATCCTTTTCCGGTCACATTTTTTATATTTTCATATTTATTTTATTAAATAGATTATTTGATTTTTTTTATTAAATTATAGGGTGTTTAAATTTATACCGACTATTTTCCAAACTTAGTTACTATTACATTGATTTAATCTGTGTTAGAACATGTCCATGAAAGACAAAAGTTGTTAGTCTTAGATGTGAAAAGGGATTAAACATGGGAATCTCTAAATTATTAACTATTAGATTAATTTATTTTTATAATTTATTAACTTAATTTGTCATAACTATTAAATTAGTTATGGACCCCAATAATAATTAGGGCATATTGTGAATTTAATAGTTATAAATGATTAGGTCAGTAATTAAGTTCATATTTCTTTTACTTTATTTAATTTCATCATATTCATAATCTTTGACCAACAAAAACATATTTATAATAGATATATTGTATGTTGTTTAATTTTCAACCAATAAGAATATGTTACATTACTTGTAAAAAAAATTAATTATATAATTTTTTATTATCTTTTTAATTAATAATTTAAATTATCTAAATCAAAATCAATAGTCTAGAATAATGAAATAAGATTGTAAAAATTAATTAAGAATGGTAAATGTTAACCGGATCCACTTATAATTATTGGTTATTAAAATATGAAATTAAATAAAACTAAAAAATAGAAAAGTTTAAATTAATGACATTGTTTAAATAAAAAAAAATGAAAGTGCGTGGACCCCATTATTGTATCCATAATTATGGTGGTGGTGATCCAAATTAAATGGGTCCCACCTGAAAAGTGATACCAACGATCAAGATCTTCCCGATATAAAAAAGGGGAACCGTCCAGGCCGTTCGATTCACATCTGACGTGGTAGCGGTGTTGTCGTGTTGATTAAATAAACCCTCCAGATTCCAAAACACGAACAAGCCAGTCCTAGCTGGCAAGCGTTGAGCAGCGAGCCAAGATCTTAGCCGTCGGAGTAGATTGATCGGACGATGGAGAGTCATTGAACACCGTGGGGTGAGAAGTGGTGGGAGGGGAAGTCTTGAGTCACGGTCACGGTCACGGAACTTCCCAGAAATGGTGGGTCCCACATTTTTCGGCATTGCCGATCTAAAGAAATTATTTCCCTATATTGTCACGTACTGTAGATGTGGCAACAACGATGACGTGTTCTGGGACCCACAATCACCCGCATGATCAAATTTTTGTCCAAAAAAAAAGCGATTAAAAAATTGTATTTAAAACCTTAATGGTGTCGCGTATGGTTCACGCGCGTGTGACGGAGTTCACTTTCGAATACCGAACACGTTGTCCTACGTGGCAAGTGATTTTTGATTTTATTGGATGGCCCTCCACTTTCTCTCACATCCACTCATCAGTAAATATCATTTTAGTTTACGGTAGAGAAATGCTAATGTCACTGCTTACACAACTGATGACAGCACACACCATGTGACCAACCTAAACTAATTTAAACGTAGCCGAATTACATTCCATAACTAAAATCAGTCAAATTACCAGTAAAATAAATCAAACTATACAAATTAAAAAATAAAAATATTTAACACATTTAATTAAAAATAATATATAATTAATTAATTATTAAATATAATAAAATAATCATAAATATTTTCAAATACAAAATGAGATTTGCCCTAGTAAACAATATATCAAAGTTTTTATATCTGTCAAGATATTTGAAAAATGGCATATTAATGTCTAAAAGATATTATGATGCCCCATATTTTATGGTATATTTTTCATACATATCAATATGTCCATATTATTTAAATTATGACAAATATCTTAGTAGGGGTGTTCATAGGCGGGCTGGACTCGGCCTACAATCTTTTTTTTTGGATTGAGCTTGGATAAGTTATGCTCAATTCTTTATCCAAGTGAGTTATCAGGAGGTCCGAATTTTGAGTAGAAATAGCCTACTCGCAACCCCAACCTATCACTCACTGGGTGGCCCTGCTGGAAAGGCCTACTAGACGGGCTTTTATGTATAATTTTATTTAAAAATTATAAATATTTTTATAAATTATATTTTTAAATTAAAAGTATAGTCAAAATAATATAAAATAAATAATTAATAATTTTATTTATAAATAAGAGAGAAACTGCATCACAATAGAATGAGCACATTCCAATTAGATTGGTACATATCCACCTGTCTATCATTTATACAACTCTATCCAAGTGTGTATTTAATATATGAAAAAGAAAAGAAGGTTCTTGGGCAAGGGTTTAACAGATTTTTTGTGATATTAGGCTGGGGCTCAGATGAGTCAATCGAATTTCAAGCCTATTTTTTCAGGTCAAGTAATAGGACCCGGGAGCAATTCAGCCCATGAACACCCTACCTCTTGGTTATATTTTAGACCCTAAAATGGCATTAACTTGTCACAAACCCACTATAGAGGGCACCTTGCACAGTGAAAACTTGATCAAAGGTGAACAATTATTTTATCCATAAATTATTTTTTGCAATGACAAAAATAATTGATTTTGTAAATAAAACAAACACTAAATTTAGAAGGCAATACCCAACATTGTATACATGTAATAAATGAGATTTTTATTTTGTCATTTTCATTGTATTATTAGGTATTTGACTTTCTCGTTTAAAGGATTACCACTTGTCAACTTTCTTAATGAAAATAATTTTTGTCTTCAACGCGATACTCCTTTCTCCTTATGGTATCGATCAAGTCATCGCACATTTAGCATTTTTTTTCCACTATATACTGTAAAAACTAATTTAATAAAAAAAAATTAGACAATTTTGCTCCTCAATTCCTTTTTTTTTTTTTCTAATTTAAATTATTAAAATTAATATCAATATATAGTCTATGAATCATATTTCAACTTTTTTTATTACTCCGTTGTGAATCTCTCATCATCTTTTCTAACCATTATACATTGATTTTTTTTAGAAATTATCAAATTAGGACATTAATAAATAAATTTTTCAATAATGGTTAGGAATGGGGTTGGGGTGTGAGAATAAGGATGACAATAAAAATATATTACAAATTTTGTGCATCACACAAGAGGACAACAAATGAGAGAACACCACCAAATGATTTTCACTAGGGGATGGATTTCAGGTGTAGATAATGTTGTCAATTGTATCGTTGATTCTATCTATTTATTGAATTTGCTTAAAATATTTTTTTATATAAGTTTGCTCCCTCTTTCTCTAATAATTCATGCACTTCACTTGGGAAGCCGAAAGATGTATTCAAGGCCGAAGGAAACAATGAAGCGAGAGTGGAGACCGAAAGGGTCTTTGAGGGACAGTGGATGGCTAGGGGACCCTTTTCTCGAACCAACAAGCGAACGTATGTTCCCTTCAATTGTAAACTCAAGTATTTGGAGTTTTCTCGAATATAAAATTTTCTTAATCTTTTAATTAAACAAAATATTGAGATTGTTAAGTGGTCAACTACTTGAGTCTTGTTCTATCACATTTTTTTCTAGTCTCATTTTGGGTTCTATTGTACCATTTTTTCTTAAATTCTTCTTCATCTAGTTCTAAGTAACTTTTTATTTATCAAAAATATATTATCTAATATAGATATAGTTTTTTTTATCTGAATATAGATATAGTTGACTGTTCATTTACATCTGTATATTTTAAAAATAATAATATTATAAAGACATAATTCAATATATCCATAAAATTAATTTATAATATATTCATTAAATTAATTTATAAATTTTAATATTAGATGGATGGGCTTGGAGACTTTTTTCATGTTGCACAATCCTGTCACTATAATGAAAACACGGCTAAAAAAGTAATATTTGTGAGACTGTTGTTACCACGTCAGATGTGGGGCCCATGTGAAATGGCTTGACCCACCATTTTATGGGTCCCATTTGGCTTTTGCTTTTGTCGCTTGTTAAGTGTTCATTCTCTCTCGACCATGAAATCCCGAAAATCTGCCACGTGTACAACCATCTAAGCGACGTCACTCTGCGCCTCCGTGGCTTTTTTAAAGACCGTGTAACACTAAAACCTGGCCGCCAACACCCTCCCCACCAACCCAACCCATTAATTTGATTAATTATTAAAAAAAAAATTCAATAATAGAATAATAATATTAATGTTGCCTTAATATTTTAATATTTGATTAAAATATAAAATATGACATCTTGGAGTTTAATAATACACTAAAAGCTCTCTACTTATCTTAAAGTTTGAGCTCATGAATAAAAACAATTGGTTGTCGAGTTGGGGTTGAATTTGAATATGTTTTAATATATTTTTCTTAATTTATATTTAATAAAAAACTATTAGCTGCTAATGTACCGTTTGAAGAAAGTGTATCGGAGAAAATCTCTCTATCTAGGTGAGACATGCATTCTTTGTTATATAGATTTTCTGTTAAATTTGATAAGGAAATTCTTACTTTGGGCTTGAACTCTCCTTTCTAACATCTTAATGAAAGTAAAATTTGTTCTCATATTTTATTTGCAATTATAAAAAAAAAAAAAGGGCAAAATCTAGTTTACCCTCTTATGGTTTGAATATTTTGCATATGACCCCCCTATAATTTGAAAATCAGCACATTACCCATTTATGCTTTTAAACCGATATGCACAATTAACACCATAAACAGAAGTGAAAAAATGACTTTAGTACCCTCAACTATTCATCATCTTCTTCCTCCCTCTCAACGGTAGCCTAATTTTTTGAAAAATCAATCAACCACCTAACTTTACAAGTTTTTATCTCTCTCTATAAAGTATCAAACTTCCTCAAACCAATGCTAATATCCTCCACTCTCAACCTAGTTTTAAACCCCACGGACTTGTTTCCTTAAATAGCCCCCATGACCCACGAATTTAAGTTCAAAGATGATCACAAACTCATTTTAACAAGTTATGTATATATTAGATTTTTTTTAACATTTGGGTCAATTTTGACCCTTAATTTCTCCTTTGTTTCTCAATCTTTTTGGGTGATTCAAATGCTTAAATTTAACTTCTTTCTACCCTATTTTCAACCATATTTTTAGTTTGTCCAAATCATGCACAAGGTAAGTGAAAATCGAGCTCCAAAGTGTCGGGTTCATCATTTTCAAAAATTGTCACAATTTTTAATTTAATTTTTCACCCACCAAACCTCATTTTTTCTCGATTCTAACTTTAAAAATGGATTCCTTGACCCTAAAAATGGTGGATTAGGCCCTCCTTCACCTCTGAAACTCAATATTTTGAATACTCAAAAATTAAGTTTTAAGCTTAAACAAGGGTTTGATTTTTTCTCACTATACACCTTGTTGCCTCTCTCTCAACTCAAACCCCCTCTTCCCAAGCCCTCCTTGCAATCCACCACCCACCACCAACCACCCATATCGAAAATTCACCCCCACCAACAACAACCCAACACCCCTAAACCCTACCGAAAATCCACTCCCAACATCCCCCTTGAAACCCACCCAACACCCCCTTAAAAACCCACCCCAAACCCCCGAAAATCCACTCCCAACAGCCCTGAAAACTCACCCTCAACAGCCTTTAAAAATCACCCCCAATAGCCCCTGAAACCCACCCCCAAACCCATTGAAAAACCCTACCATTTCCACTGAAAATCACAAGAACAATTACAAGAGAGAGAGAGAGAGAGAGAGAGAGAGAGAGGAGGAGGAGGAGGGAGGAGGCGAGAGTTGGAGAGGCACTGAGACGGGAAAAGGGAAATGAGAAATAAGGAATTTTTTTTTCTAACAGTAAAATGTAGAAAAAGATCAAAAAAAAGGTCTTTTTGAAAGATCACAAAGGTATATTTGGACTTTTAGATTGAGTTTTGATTTTGACTTAAATTTTTTACATCCACACTTGCAAATCTAGCGCGTGTGTTATAATTTCTGTTACTTTTGACAAAAATAGTAACGGTCGCATTTTAGTCCAAAAATACAAAAAAGTTATGTGCTGATTTTTGAACCACAAAGAGGTGATGTGCAAAATACTCAAACCACAAGGGGGTAAACTGGATAAGGACCTCAAACCGTGATAAGGACCTAGACCTCAAACTTTAACCTAGGCCCTAGGACCAAGGTTGACCACGGGCCCAACCCTATCCCCCAAACTA